GAAGGGAAGAGGCTGGTCAAAGAGTACTTGAATGAGTAAGTTCTGGAGATCCATTGTATGGTATGACACCTGTAGTTAATAATAATGTATATTTTTAAATTACTGAGAGAGTAAATCAGAAATGTTCTCACCAGACACACAAAAAAGGTAACTGTGAGGTGGTGGGTATGTTAATTAGCTTGATTATGGTAATCATTTCACAGTATGTATATATGTCAAAACATTGTATTGTACACTACCAGTAATTTTTTTTTTTTAGTCAACGATAGCCTCACTAAACTTGTGGTAAAAAAAGAATTTTACAAAACAATTGGAAAACTATATTGATAAAAATATTTACAGTGTACATGACACATAGAGACTTAGTATCTATAATATGTAAAGGTCTTTTACAAATCCATGAGAAAAATATTCACAGCTAGTGAATTTATTTACTAGGAAACAGTAAGCAATTAGGCGTGAACAAAGGAAAAATAAGTATGTAAAAATATTTAGTTTTAATTAAGCAAATGTAAATTAAAATAAAGCATGATTTTTCACTTAGTAAATTAGTGAAGATTGAAGTATTGACAAGGAATTTAATATGTACTTCCAGTACTGTAAGTAACATAGGCTCTTTGGAGGACACTGCAGCAGTGTGTGTCAAGAACCTTACAAAATGTTTCTCTTTGTTTTAGCAAGTATACTTCTAGAAATCTCTCCTGAATAAATTAGATTTTTAAATTACATGTGTAATTAATTAGATTACACATAGAATTTTTTATATAAAAATGTTACTTATACAGGAATGGAAGCATAAGGGAATGGTTGGTTATATGAGAGTTAAAAATTATTATAGCGTACTACTTACTGCCATAGTAATATGTTTATAATTTAAGTGGAATAAAATCAGTATAAAAGAGCATCCAGAGGCCAACCGTGTGGTGTGGTGGTTGGGGTGGCTGGATCCCACGTGTCTAACAGTGCAGTATGAGTCCTGGACCCAGTGACTTGAGAGACATGTGGGGTGTGTGTGCATGTGTGCCCAGGATCCCAAGAGGAGAAAGGAGAAGAGGGGATTATGATGTGGCCACCACTTCTGGAGGTGATTTTGCACTTTGTCATAGGCATACATGCCCTATAACAGCCCCCTCTCCCCCCAAAAAAAGTAGTCCAAACTTAGGTTAAAAACAAGTTTTGTGCATATGCATGCCTAGAAAAAAAGCCTTATAGATTAGTTATGTGCCAGAATGTTAACATAGTGATCTCTGGCTTATAGGATAATGGGTGATTTTTGTTACCTTTTTCGTATTGTTCTACATCATTGGTATTTTCTATAATAATCATTTTGTATCACATTTTTTTTAAAGAGATTTTTGCTGTAGGGTGAGTGTGCTGGCTGGAGAGACAGAAAGAAAGTGAGCTCCCAGGGGAATGACCACACTGCAGTCCCTTCTCCATTCTCCTCTCAGAATTTCGGGCACACACATATGTGCCCGGTGGGGGTTTTAGATCACCAGGTTCAGGACTTGAACTGCGGTTGACTACATGGAAGTCCAGTGACATAACCATTACGCTATCTGCTGGTCCCGTTTTATATCACTTTTATAATCAGAATGACCACATGTTATTCTTAAAAATTATAGAATGTGAATTTTCATTACTTTTTCATTTTAAACCCTTTTCCCCTGTTTCATAATTGTGCACCTGTCGTTTTCTGCTAGTTTGTTTCATATGGAATTGGAAAAGAATTAGGATATTTAAGGTACATCATATGAAGGTCATTTATTCTTTCAGCATCTTACATTTAAGCCACGTGTTTATATTGTGTTTTTAACATCATTTAAAAATAATTTTTTTTGGCCTCTGCCTGTATCTGTGTAACTTTCTATTTTAATAAGAAAATGCCCTGATATTCTTTTTAGAGTTTCTTCTTTAGTTTATTATGTATCTTTATAATTTAGTGAAAATTACATAGATTTTTCATAAAAAGTTTTGAGTTTTTTATTTATTTATTTTTTTTGGAGAGATTTTGCTATCGGGCCTATACATTCACCAGGAAGGCCGAGACAGAGAGACAGAAAGCGAGAAATCACCTCTCATGGGGGATGGCCACACTGCAATCCCTTCTCCTCCACTCTCCTCTCGGGATCTTGGGTACGCATGCACACATGCTCAGCGTGAGTTTAAGCCACTGGGTCTGGGACTGGAACAGCGGTCAACTACATGGGAGTCCAGTGACATAGCCATTATGCCAACTGCTGGTCCCGAGTTTGAGTTTTGTTTTTTTTCTTAGAGATTTTTGGTATAGGATGCGTGCGCTTGCCAGAAAGACAGAAAACAAGAAATCACCCTCCAGGGGGGATGACCATGCCTCAATTCCTTCTCCATTCTCTTCAGGGGATCTTGGGCACGCACACACACGCGCCCGGTATGAATTTAAGCCACCAAGTCTGGGACTCAAACCACGGTCGACTACATGAGAGTTCAGCGACATAGCCATTATGCCAACTGCTGGTCTCAAGTTTGTTTTTTTTTTTTTTTTAAGAGATTGATTTTGTTGAAAACCTTTCATATATGTGCTATTTTTGCCTCAAAACTAAATAATGAATTTGAATTTTTATACATAGAAATACCCAGTAAGAAATAATCTAAAGATTTTCATGTGGTATAAGATCATTTTAAATAAGTAGGGTATTGTGTTTAACCCATATTAAGAAGCTGTACCTGAGCCAGCCCCATAGCCTAGTGGTTAAGAGAAACAGGATCATACGTGAGTGACCGCGATTCATATCCTGGTCCTGGTGGCTTGAAAAACATGCTGAGTATGTGTGCATCCAGAATCCCAGCAGGACTGAGAAATGGAGGAGAAGGGATTACGATGTAACCATGCCATGTTAGAGAATACTTTCTCCCTTTTCCCTTCTCTCTGTCTCTGGTGAATGCACATACCCTCTGGCAACTTAAAAGAAAAAGAAAGAAACTATACCAAAATTACAAAGCTGCCGTGTTATAGCCTAAATGTCCTGCAGGTTAACTCTTCAAAAATGTAGTAACTTCAGATTGTCTTTTAAGTAGAAGCTCACCTAGTGCTGTTTATACTCACCTTTTAAAACCAAATAAACAGTCTGGCTTTCCATTTCTCCCATACCTAGCAGCTGTCTAGCCTCTGGAATAAATTAAGGTGCTCTGAATTAACTTAGTAGAGTTTTAAGGTCTTTAAAGTATTTCACTGATAAAACTTGACTATTCTGCTGAAGGTAATCTTTATTCCTTAGAACTTGTCACTTCATTAAGTTGTTCATTTATTTATTTATTCTTGAAGTATTTATGTACCCACTCTGATGCCAGTAGGTATAGGGAGATGGAAACTTTAGAAATGAAGAAATAGGGACCAGCAGTTAGCGTAATGGCCATGCCGCTGGACTCCCATGTAGTCGACCACGATTCGAGTCCTGGACCCGGTGACTTAAACTCACACCGGGCTCATGTGCGTGTGTGCCCAAGATCCCAAGAGGAGAATGGAGGAGAAGGGATTGTGGCGTGGCCATCTCCCCTGGGGGGTGATTTCTCTCTTTCTGTCTGTCTGGTGCTCACGTGCCCTATAGCAAAAAAAGAAAAAAAGAAATGAAGAAATATCTTAAAGCACTTGCAGACTTCAGTGGGAATGAAGCGATATGCAGAGAGTTCTTTAATATGTGTGATGGAACACACAAGTACTATAAGGCTCAGAAGAGGGAATGAACGACTTCTAGGGAGGGAAGGGGGTGTGAGAAATGGAGAGGGAATTGTGGTAGGTAGTAGGCATTTGCGAGACCCTTGCCAGGCAGGCAGAAATTTGGCATTCTGCTATCTGTATTGTTCACTTTTCACAAGAGTATATCTTTTTTCCCTTAGTTGATCTAAAAGTCTGTTTTTTTTCTTTTTCTTTTCTTTTTTTTTTAGAGGTTTTTGCTATAGGGCATATGTGCTTGCCAGAAAGACAGAGACAGACAGACAGAAAGTGAGAAATCACCCCCCAGGGGGATGGCCACGCCACAATCCCTTCTCCTCCATTCTCCTCTCAGGATCTTGGGCACACACGCACACATGCCCGGCATGAGTTCTAAGCCACCGGGTCCGGGACACGAACCACGGTCGACTATGTGGAAGTCCAGGAACATAGCCATTACGCATCTGCTGGTCCCTGATCTAAAAGTCTTTCTGATGGAACATGGTAGGCCCTTGATACACCTTTCACTGATCAAAAACCATTTACGTTTGCTACCTTTTCATAATTCTACCAAATACTTTTTTTTCCATGAATGCTTCTTGCATTTATACCATTTGTAATCCATTAGTTTGCAGGTTGGTAATATAAAGATTTGAACAATTTGCTGCTGGATTTTATTTCACCTATTTAAAAAACCCACTTACTGATTTTCACTGAGTTTGAGATGAGTAGTGAAAGTTGTGATCTCTTGAAAAATCCTTTTATTCATGAATCGTGTTTTTGTACTACGCCTTTATAATTAAGTATTGAACAAAACAGACATGGTCTCCATGTTCACGGCATTACATTGAACAAATGATTTCACTGTTCTGTTGTTAAACAAATAAGTTAACAATCATTAAATGTAGAAGAATCTTTAACCTCTGAGTTTACATTTTTTTCCCTCTCACATTAGCATTCCTTGAAAATGAACTCCCTGATATTCATCCTTATCTTAGACTTTGGCTTTTCTCTGTATGTGCTAATCAGAATATGATTAGTCAAGGTCCAGGGAAAGAATGACAAATAGTTCCTTAAATTTTGTGTTTTTTAAAAGAAAATTCTTCTGTCATTTATAAGAGAAAGGGGAAATTCCCATGTTCTGAGCTTCATAAGTAACAGTACTGTGGTGGGCATTGTATATGAATACTGGTGGGACCAATGATGTCAGAAAAGCAAGGGATGAATTAAAGAGAAATTGAGGCATTAATGGAGAAAGAAAAACTTTTAAGAATTCCTCTTTTCACTTCCCTTTTTTTATTCCTATAAGATTCTTCTTGATGAACTATCCTCTACTAAACATTGGGCGTCCATGCATGTTTCAGACCACAGTGGATTTCACTACCGCCAGTTTTTGTTAAAGTCTTTGATTAGTCAAACTGTGGTAGACAGTTCTTTATTGGAGCAAAACCACTTGAGAAGTGAGCCAGCCCTAGTTCTTCCAAAAGATGAAGAGGCAGCAGCTTCAACAGAGGAATCAAGGATAAATCTTCCTCATCTTCTAGAAGAAGAAGTTGAATTCAGCACTGATCTTATTGATTCCTACCCAGGACATGAAACCCTTTGGTGTCATAGGTAAGAGAAGGGAAACTTTATTTCCTGAATGAAACTGCATGTCCTTATGAGAGCTGCAGGTGGTGGTATTTCTGACTTCTACCAGCATGGTTAAATATGGCCATCTGGCTGTGTGGCTTTGCCCGAGTAAGAAAGCATCATCCTCATTAATACGAGGTTCCTCACGCAGATCTTTGCCTATGGCTTATGACATTGATACTGAATTTTGCACAACAGGATGGGGGATGGAAACGAATATTTAAAATTAATTAAATATCTTGATTTAAGAGTTTAGTGGGAATGAAGAAATGTACGAAAAAATTTTAATGTATATGATGAAGCACACCATGGAAGTTCAGAAGAGCAAATGATTTTTCTAAGGAAGACAGGAGTATGAGAAGTGAAGGGGGGATTGTAGTTTAGAAGAAGGTGTTTATTAGGCTTACTTCTACAATAAAACAAGAAATACAAGTAAAACAAATTTCTGGCCTCTTTGTGATTCTGATATTTAGCATAACTAGTATGGAGCACTACATTCTAATTTTTCTTTTTAAAGTGAAATCTAATAACATGCTGATGCACAGTCAGAGTTGAGACTATTGATTGATCCTTGAAAATAAGATAAACATTTTTCTAACACTCCTCAAATTAACTTACTTTAAGTGTAGTCACTGGATATTATTTATTTAAAATGAAATGTAGGGGCCAGCAGATGGCATGTTTTATAAGATGCTGGACTTTCATATGGTCTGCCACAGCTTGAGTCCCAGACCCAATTTTCTCGGCTTGAAAATCACAACCAGGCACGTGTGCATAGGTGCCCAAAATCCCAGGAGGAGAATGAAGGAGAAGGGATTGTGGCATGGCCATCCTCCCTGCTGGGAGAGGTGATAGCTTAACTTTCCCTCTCACTGTCTCTCTGTCTGTGGTAAGCACATGCTCCCTGTGACAGAAACCTACAAGTAAATGAAATGAAAGAATTTATCTTTGGGAGGGTAAAGGCCAGTAG